GGTAGCAAAGTCAAAAGATTGGATAAAATCGTGGTCTAAGTTAGTTAACCAGTAATAAGTGCCGTTCACGTGAATTTTCACGAATGCATCAGCGGACGGATGGAAGGTGTAAGGACAAAAGCTGACTCGTTTCCACGAGTTAGTCTTGAGAGAATATAATTCGGCCACGGCAAGGGAGCACCTTTTCTTCAAATCATGATCAGATCTTTGCAGAAATATTATCACCTTGTAGTCGTCAGATGTGGAATCATACCCGAAACCAAAATTATTGTAGATTCTCTTCTTATACCTCGGGTCCAAGGTTGCGGGAGATGGAGGAAGGATTTTGAGTTCGTTGGTTGTCGGATTCCAAAGAGCCTCCTGGGGAATGTCGGGATCTTTACCATAAATGTTATCATACAAAAGTAAAATTAAACGATTGGAAGCAGCATATGGAAGAAAGTTACGATCAGGAAAGAGAGTATCGATCTTATTTAGTATTCTGGGCTCCAAATTCTCTTTGTCGATTGAAACTACCACGTACTTGGGAATGCAGGGTACTGCCCAATAATCGATTGAAACAAACTTGTATGCAACCAACTTCAAAAGGCCTTAAACTCTTCTTTCAAATCATCGATGGTTGGATGAATATTACAGTTAATATTGCCAAGAAAAATCCTTCGGCAGGGGCCAACCGAGCCTGCTACATACATCCTGATGCATATTATGGTGATTTTGAACCTCGAATGCCTAATCCTTTCAGTCCGACCAATCCTTTCAGTCGGACCATTTATGAGTTCTTTAGGCCACACGGCACACGGTATTGGATAGGCAAACTTAACGGGTAGACATCTATACTTCTTTCTTTCTTGAATATGCACTCTTTTTATACACAAAATAACATACTTTTAAAAAAAAATACCATACACACTTGTAAATAAAACCATTGATCAAAATTTACACAAGTTAACAAGGACACCCAAGTTCTTCTGCAAACACCAAATTCCTAAATATTTCACTTCTTCCTAAAGAGAAAAGAAATATAAAATATTATATCATAAATGCCATTATTAAGTCCCAACCATCTCTAATCATTTTCCAGACGAGCTCAACGAAACATAGTTCTCAACAAAAGGAAATACGCTGCAGAACTCATGAGTACAGACATTCGATATGTTCGTCTCCGTATTCATTGCACAATCATGGACCATCAAATCACCCCCCGGTTGTAGATAAAACAACTTATCATTCTCAAAGAGGCCCTCATAATTACTCATCTTATCGACAAGAAACGTGGACTCTTGGGCCCATGACAAACTCGTGTCGTCCCACACCCAAAGTTCTAAACCGTTATGCATCTCGTCGTCTACCCACACAGTAGTTGAAGCCAAAAAACCGAGCGAGCCCCGATATTCAACGAGCATCTTATCACAAAATTTTTCCAACTTCTCGCTCGGGGGCGTAGGAACACCATCGGACTCAAACTTCTCAGTAGCAAAGTTAAAAGACTGGATAAAATCATCGTTTAATTTATTTAACCAGTAATAAGTGCCGTTCACGTGAACTCCCGCGAATGGTTCACCGTACCATTGGAAGCTGTAAGGGCGAAAGTTGACTCGTTTCCATGAGTTAGTCTTGAGAGAATATAATTCGGCCGCGACAAGGGACGTCCAATCATTAGATCTTCGCAGAAATCTTATCACCTTGTAGTCGCCAGACGTGGAATCATACCCGAAACCAAAATAATTGCAGACACACAATTCATGCCTGAAGAACAAAAAAAAGAAAAAGAAAAATTAAACTAAAAAACATTGTCCAAACCACAATCAAATACAAGAAAAGAAAATGTTGATCACATTAAAGTTATATTGAACTTAGCATTATTACAATTGAAAGGCTTAAGCTCCTCTATAGCATTACAATTGACTACTATCTACCAAGGCTTTGATTGAGGAGCCTTACGCTCGCTTTGTTATATATCACGTTAAGGCTCCTCTATCAAAGCATTAGTTGAACTGAAGTACACTATCCTCAATATTATCAATATAATTAAGTATTTAAAACCATTTTGTTCGACAATTGCACCTCGGGTCCAAGGTTGCGGGAGATGGAGGAAGGATTTTGAGTTCGTTTGTTGTCGGATTCCAAAGAGCCTCTTTGGTCCAAAAATCCTCTTCCATATCAACGTCGTCGGGATATTTACCATAACTGTTAGAATACAAAAGTAAAATCAAGCCATTGCAAGACTCATATGACCTCCCCCTCTATGCCTTGCGGTAATAATTCCTCTGGCATTACGACCTTTACCACAATGGTGCTGTCCATAGATCCAATTATTTCGTGGGTTGGATTTCACTTGACTGTCTATGGTTCTATTGCGTGTGCTCGGGGTAGAAGTTTTGTATAAATGTATCGCCATGCTATACTCCAAAGTCTCCTTGTCGATTGCAACTACCACGTAATCGGACCCATCTCTGCTTGGGTGCTGCTCCTCAATAATAAACTTCGACTGAAACAAACTTGTACGCAACCAATTATTGTCATCAGTGATGGAGAAATTATTAGTTTTGCATAAATTTAACTTGCTCTTATTCTTCTTGTTCATGCCGATATTGGGGAAAGATGAAGGTTTTAATAACGGGTTATTCTTCCGGCCGACGGGGAAAGATGAAGGTTTGAATAACGACGGGTTGTTCTTCCGACCGGCGGGGAGAGATTTTGAAGGTTTGAATAACGACGGGTATGGGTTAAGATTTAGCGACGACGCCATAATTATCGATCTTCGACGGAAGAGTAATAATACTCCTCGGAGAAGAAAACCACAACGACCCAACTAAAGATCATCATAGGGGAATTAGGATTTCATTAATACTAGACTCTTCGACTCAGCATGAGACTCGGAGAATTTCGAACCGTTTCGAAAATTGAATCGAAATTACTCTGAATCGAAAAATAACCGTTGACTGTTTGACTTTCTCCGAACCGAACTGAACTGAACTGAAAAAATAATTAGTACGGTTTTGGAGATTTCACAAATATCTGTATCGAGAACCGAACCGAACCGTCTCATACCGTAACGAACTGAAGAACCGCAATTAAGAACCAAATTATAACATCAGATTTGTTAGTAATATATTTTATGTCCCCTTTGATCCTATATAATATAGTAATAATAACTAACTTTCACTTAACTTTCATGCTTAGTAATACTTGATTTACAATTGAATTTTTTCTATTATAAAATAATTATGTAAAATAATATGAAAGGTTAAAGAATATTTTTTTGAAAAAGTATTATATTTTGTTTGAATTTTAAATTTTCAATATTAGTTGCACAAATTTAGTCTTAACTAAAATTTAGAGTTACTTCTAAAGTTGATTTCAAAATAAAATTTTTAATATGAGGAAGTATTGCTGAATGTTGGTTTATTAAAGCATATAAAAATTAAATAACTAAAATTTAGAGTTGCTTCTAAAATTGATTTCAAAATAAAATCTTCAATATGATGAATTATTGATGAATGTTGTTTTTTTAAAGCATATAAAAATTAAAACATAACTAGGTAGTCATTCAAAAAAAGAAATCTAAAAAAATAAGAAATCTCCGAAGATCCGAACCAAACCATACCGAACTGAACCGTCTCAATAGTCTCGAATACGGAACCGAACCGAACCGAAAAATAAAAATCTTCGAACCGAACCGAACCGACTTTTTGGTACGGTTCTGGAGATCGAATTTTGGGATCTCCGTACTTTGGTACGGTTCCGGAGATTTATCAATCTCGAATCATACCGACCCATGCTCACCCATACTAGACTCCTTTCAAAACTAATAAATATTTATTTATCAAAACAAATAATAAATAATATAATTTATATTCTATTTAAAAATAAAAAACAAGTACTTATAAATTCAAATAATATAATGAATATCCTCATTTTCTGTATTCATTGCCAAATGATTAAACTTGAACGAGGATGTGTGTTTTGATCGAGCACGTGATCCATATAGCTCGTCCCCCCTTAGTGGGATTTTAAGTAACGGCTTGTTGATTGATTGATTGATAATACCATCTCCTCTAGAAGTTTACCGTGGTTGTTGAGGAAAGGGTGCACAATTTTCTTTTCCATTTTTTCCCGTTCTTATAGTGGCGAGCAAAGTGTCTTGATATAATGTTCGTATTCATCAGCCGAGCTGAAAGCAGTTTCTATCTGCCTCTGCAGGTCTGTCCACCTATACATATGAGGAAACTTTACGCTTCAACATTTGATGGTTTCAGTGAACTTGTGGGAAGGTACAAAAATAATATGAAACTGATTTCATTTTTTCGCGCTTTCAGATCATCAATGATTGGATGATTACAGTCGATGTTGCCAAGAAAAATCCTCCCGAGTTTAGCAGGGGCCAACCAAGACCTGCTACTTCTTGATGCATAATGTTTCGACTTTTCCCACACTATTCGAAGAATGTGATTGAACCTCCTTATTGTGGTCTGATTTTCGTTGTAGTATTCTTTTTGAATGCTATATTATGGTGATTTTGAACCTTCAACGCCTAATCCTTTCAGGCAGTCATACTGAAGCTTCCAAAGCATTAATTTATTGGACTAGTCATATATAACATGCTTTAAAAAAATACTACAAATAAAAATATTACGTTCCCAAATAAAACCATTGATCAAAATTACACAAGTGAACAAGGACAGAAAGTTCTTTGCAAACACCAAATCCATAAATATTGCACTTGATAAAAAGAAAGATAATGTAATATCATATCATATATAAGCCATATTGTAATCAAATACCTCTCCCAAGTCCCAACCATGATCTAATCATTTTCCACACGAGCTCAACGAAACATAGTTCTCAACAAAAGGGAATACCTTGCCCACCCCATGAGTACAGACATTCGATAGGTTCATCACCCCCCAACCCTGACTCTAGATAAAACAACTTATCATTCTCAAAGAGGCCCATAAAACTACGCATCTTATCGACGCGAAACGTGGACTCTAGGGCCCACGACCAACTAGCGTCGTCCCACACCCAAACATTATACTTCACGCCGTCTACCCGCACAGAATTCGAAGCCAAAAAACCGAGCGAGCCCCGATATTGAACGAGCCTCATATCACAAAAGTCATAACTATCCAACTTATCGCTCGGGGGCATAGGAATATAATATGTATCACAAAAGTCATAACTATCAAACTCCTCTGTAGCAAAGTCAAAAAACCGGATAGAATGGGCGTCTTTGTGCATATAGTATTCGTCGATATCTAACCTGTAATAAGTGCCATTTACGTGAACTTTCACGAATGGATGACCGTATGGATCGAATCTAAAAGGATTAAAGAACACTTGTTTCCATGAGTTAGTCTTGAGCGAATATAATTCGGCCACGGCAAGGCAGCCATCACTACAATTTTCCAGATATCTTATCACCTTGTAGTCGTTAGATGTGGAATCATACCCGAAACCAAAATGATTGCAGATTTTCTTCTTATAGTTCTTATACCTGTCATTTCACATGATAGAACATAAATGTTTTTAAAGAAATGACATAATTCCAAATTTTTGAAAAAAAAAAAAAAATACAAGAAATGAAAAATGAAACTAAAAAGAATTGTCCAACCACAATCAAATACAAAAAATAGTACCACGGGTCCAAGGTTAAGGGAGATGGAGGAAGGATTTCCATTACATGGCCCAATATATACGTCTTAATCTTTTTTATTTATTTATTTTTCTTTTTTTTAGCAAATGAATGAATTTATCTTCCAAAAGCGATTTAATATTTTTTGGAATAGTGTTTTTTTATTTAATTTCAATATTACGGTTTTTATTTTGTAACACCGAAAACGTATAATTAATTTGCTTTAAATTCTTAAAACATGTGTTAGAAATGGGGTAAAAGTGGGTTAAGCCCAAGAATTAAAATAGTTGGACTAAAATGTATCCCGTTGTGTTTAACACAGTGTTTTAAAACGCGTATAGCGAAATGCGTCGCGTTTTGGTCTTTATAATGCGTAGCGTAAATAGCGTTGCGTGTTGCGAAAGCTATTTTGTATAATTTTTTTTATATGTAAAAATTACAAGTATATTTGCATATGGATGGTTGATTACAAAAATTATCATAGTATTTGAGTGACTTGAAAATTAACATCTAAGGATTAATTTTCACAAATGTTTAATGTAATATCATCATAATATAAATATTTAATAATAAATCAACTTAAAAATAAAAATAAAAAACGAAAATATAATGAGGTAAGTCATAGTGTAATTTTAAGTATATGCATTTTAATTATTATTTTATTATTTAACTACAACTTAATTCTAACAATTGGATACAAATTTTTTATTCTTTATTTAAATGTCAAATATCGAAAAATAAAATGATATAACAAAAATAGACAAAAAAATTGCACTATTCAACTTAGGACTTTGCATTTTCGAACTTTTAATTTGAAATCATTATCAGAATTTTTAGTTTTTAATTGTCATATGTAAATATAGCTCTAATCCCTAAAAAATACGAGTGTTTGAATATTTTATTGTTCCAATGTAGCTGCAGAAATATAGCCAATATAGCGTACAATAGCGTGAAATAGCGCAAAATAGCGTAAGAAAATGTGCCGTTTCAATATTTCGCATAAGATTTTCGGGAAGATTGCTAAATATATAAGGCTACGTCGCGTTTTTCCCAAAAAAAAAAACTACATAGCGAGCAATAGCGAACTACATAACGAGCTATTTAAAACAATGGTTTAACACAACCGGCCCAAGTTATTATTGTCTAATGCTCAGGTAATGGCTCACTAAGTCACGAAAAGCAAGCTTACAATCTATATCTATCTATATATATATTAAAAGCCAACCTATTTACCAAAAACAGTAGCAAGAAAAGTCAACAAACATTTAATGCATACTTTATTTGGAAATTTTTTACTATATGCATTAAATGCTTGCATATTTATATTTACTATCCAAATATGATCTTCAAGATTTTTTCCTTAGATAATTTATGCAATGATTTTACTGATATGCATTATAATTAATATTTGTCGAGTAATATTTTTTAACCTTTATTTAATTATATAACACTAATATTTTTTTAAAAAATTATATTATTTATTATTTAAAAGATAATGATCACATCATTAAATGATTTTATTGATGGTTAGATAATAAAATTATAGTTATTCTTTAAAATTTCGACATGTTATTTATTTGTATATTATTGTCAACTATGATAGTGTTTTTATCACTTTTTTTTGTTATGTCTCAAAAATAAAGTTATTGTAAAATATTTTTCTATTGCATAATATGTTAAATAAACTATAAAGCCTTAGGATGAAAATTATAAAAAAAAAAAAACTCTTGATTAAGTAAGGGATTTATTTTTTGGCAATTGCTAAATCATTTTTTAAAAAAAGAATTATTATGAATAAATTGAATTCTAAAAAACATGTGTGTGTATTTTGTAAACATTTATACTCAAAATTTTATTTTGAATTTCATTACATAAAGAAGATTACTTCTATAACTTTTATAAATAATAATAATTACATTATATGACTGTAAATTTTATAATAAAATAATAATTGAGTATTATATGGTGTACAATAATTCATAAAATTTTTATTTTTTCCTATATCAATGAATAAATATGTATTCTAAAATCAAATAAATATTAGTATGACATGTTAGCGGAATTATATATTAATTAACATGTTGATTTTTTGGCTTAAATAAACGCCACTTATT